GTGTAACAAGCCGTTCAGAAAGAAGCATTTATTTATGTATTAGTTTTTTCTTTTTAAATTTAGTGGGCGCCGCCTATATTCAGATGCACTCAATAGTCTGGAAATTACGGTAACTGTTTCTGTCAGGCATTTCTGAATAAGAGAATCAAATCTTTTTTTATATGTTCGTTGTCAAAAGAAGCAATGCTTGAGAAGGTTTTAAGAATTTAAGATTAGCGCCCTTCAGTGGTTTTATGCCTGCCGTCTTCACTTTCTGCACTTTGTTTCTGTTAAAACTGTGTTGCTTCGGTCTAATCTCATACTTGCAGAGGAGGAGGAGGTGAAGAACCTCCTTCCTCAGAGATACTGTGATACTCGTGACATCACTGTCACCGTTTCACAAGACCAGCTCTCTCTGTGATTTAGTTCTTCACTGTTGTGCCTCTACAGAAGACACGGTGGTTGCAAACAGGAAAATCATGATCTAATCTCAGTCATCAGATCAGTACATCCGTAGTTATTGACAACACAACTGCTTCTCTCTGCTGCATGTTTCTTCTTTCCTCCCCTAGATGTCCCTCTGTTTCTCTCTCTCTCTCTCTCTCTCGCTCACTCTCTTTCTGTAGTGTAGACAGTCATATATCCTTAATGTCTGTTTTATGGTTTTGTTCTTACTGGTTGAATTGCCATAATGCGGACCAAGAAGTCCTCTGCTCGCTGTTTCTTTTTAAAAGACCCTATTGTAAATGGCAGTGTTTAGTGCTCCTGCCCTACAGCAAGAACATCAACGGTTTGATTCCAGGTGCTAACTGAGGGCTTGTCTGTACGTATATTGTTGTGTACATGTTTTTTTTGTTTTCCAGAATCTGCACCAAAACAAATCCCATGAATACATTTGAAAAACATACTATGTACTAAGTACATTCATGCCATGCCCAACTGACAAGTTTTATTGACATTTTTTTTTTGTCATGAGATTATTTAACAACAAAAATTGATACAAAAACCCCCCAAAAGCTGCTTGGGTAGTGCATAATGTCACAATTTTGTTAATTGGTTGTCCTAACATTGAACAGGAAGGTCGGGTCAGGAGCAGATAGATGGAGCGTTCATGGGAACTTGCATAAAGGCTAACATGCTAAAATGCTTTTTTTTATCATTTTCTACGCTATCTATTGCGGAAAAGTGGGTATTGCAGGGAAAAGACAGAAGTGTAATGATAATATAAATAAATTGTATAATTTGGAAAAGTTTGGCGGGCCGGGTTATAAAGCTGAACAGGCCGCATCCAGCCCCCATGCCTGGTCTAGACCTGTGTCAACATTTTGATTCCAGTATTTGATAACTGTCCCTTCTGCAAATACGCATGGGTAAAGTGTGGTACTAGTCCAAGCTATTCCATAACGATTCCAGTATTTGATAACTGTCCCTTCCGCAAATACGCATGGGTAAAGTACCACCTCCAAGTCCAAGCTATTCCATAAGCTAATATTTGCTGTAACTTCTTATATATCATTTCCCAAAACACAGTTAGTTTTTGTTTACAGTTGCAGAAAATGGGAGAGTTGTCTATATTGAAAGATTCTTCAGTGCAGCCTCACTCACAATGTGCGACTTGGTGGATGAGTGATGGGTTTTCCCACATTTTGAGCCATTCCTCATCTGAAATTCCCATGTTAACTTCCTTCCTCCCGTTTCATCTCAATATAATAAATTAAATGTGTGTTGTTAGTATTAAATCCTTTATGTAACGATGATATTATTTGTTACTTCCCTGATATGCTTTAACTAGGATTTGGATGATATCATTCCGTGAAAGAATCCAACCAAACTTCCTTTTTTTTTCTAGTAGTCCCTTATTTACTGTAAAAGTACCTAAATATTTCATATGGATCTAAATCAAGTCTTCTAAGATTTTCAAAACTCAGCTTTCCTTCAAGTCTTCTAAGATTTTCAAAACTCACCAGCTTCCATTGTTTGCTAACCCACTCGAGGCAGTTATTCCTTTTACAACCCATTTCTTATATCTTTTGTCTTTTTTTTTTTTTTGCCGGAGAGAATTTGCTATTGTAAGCTATTCATTTTAATACTTTTATATCGTTCTGGATCTGGTGTTTTAATGGCAATTTTACCTTCTTGCTTTCAAAAGGACATGTTACTCACTGACCACACATTGGGCCACTTTGAGGTTTTATTTGGGCTGCACGTGGCCCTCCAGCCATTATTTGATTAGACATGCTAAACTGACCCAAGGTGTCCATGTGAGTGTGGATGGGTGTGGTCTAAATGTGACCTGTGATGAAGTGGAAAACAGTAATGGTGGTTGGGGGCGGGGGGTCAGACAGAGGGGGTTTCCAGCTCTGGGTGTTTTTTTGCACCAATACCAAAAAGAAGTTTTAAATTCAAAGCCAAGACACAGTGAATTACCACTGATGTTTTCTCTCTTCGCTGATTCAATTCACATACATTACATGACGTAACCTTTCCCAGCTTTGTGCTCTGTTCTGTGGTGTGAGTCCTGTGCTGTCAGCTGACTAAACTACTGTCGACCGGTTTACCCTGGGGGAGTCGTGACTGATGGACTCATCACACTGCAGACATTTCTAGTTTTCCACCAGTGGCCACAAAACATCAATGGGGTCAGACCTTCTTCCCTGTCTAACCCCCATCTCAATCCCCCTGAGGGCTTTGTCAATAACAGCACAGACGAATGGTAAATGTGCGAGAGAAATGAAGAAAGAAATGAGGAAGGTGTAAGATGAAATAAATGACTTTAATTCTATTGTCAATGAAGGGGTGTAAATGAAACGCTCCAAATTAAGTAACCAATAATCAAACCACCAGTTGACCTAGGTGTCCATTACATTATTTAATCTCTTTGTCTGTCTGTGGGTTGGGTTAATCCAACATAGTAAAAAAGGAGGGTGTACTGAAGACAGATTGTAACCTGTGAAACGGGGCGCTCTGAAAACACCCCTATCAGCACTTGGTACTTTCCTCCGGTTAAAATGAACAGACCAAAAAAAAAATTTAAAAAAATCGACCAATCAGAATCAGAACATATTGACCAATAAATCAAACCAAGAAATGATTGTATATATATTTAATTAATTTTAGAAATGACTTAAGAATCCCAACTTCCTCAGGAGCAACATTATTCTAGGTTGAAAAATGGAACTTTGTGTAACAAAACGTGACTGTCGTTTTCACTATGACATGTTGGTTTCTAGTAAGTGATGTCACTGGTAATGTCCTTTAAATTACCCGTAAACACGTGAGCCGGGACTCACGTTTCCCTTTCCAGTCTGGACTATTTAAAGCAGTTGCTACTTTAACAAACCAGATTACTTATCAAATTGTGCAAATCGGTTGTGACTTGGTTAACCTGTTTGTCAAAGGACAGTGCCCCCCATTCTCCCATGTGTTGGTACTGCGAGGAGGTCAGAGCTTCTGCTAAAGGGCGGCTCACGTTGTGATAAAGGCCCTGGTGCTCTGAGCCCTCTCTCAGCTGAGTGAATTAGAGTCTCATGATCTGCTCAGTAAATATATAACATTTAGCCTGCAGACAAAGACGGCAGAGCAACCACAGCTCACTGGGTGATTTCACATGATGACACTGACGGTCAGCTCATGGGAGTGTTAGCGTAACAGAGACACTGTGTAGAATTGCAGTCATGACGGTGTAAAACTGTGATCTATTGTTTAGCCCACGTTTACTTGAAAGTAACTGTTTCTATTAATCTGGGCTGGACATTGGAGTCACTGAGTGCTTGAATATATATGGATATATTATATATGGAATATGTAGAGGTTTGCTCATGTTGGTCTTTTGTTGAATGTAGTGTCCCTTCAACCTAAACCCCAAGCCCTTGCACACGTGACAGACCTTACGAACGTCTTGCTGGAAAAGCGAGCGTTCTACCCACATTAGCCACAATGTAGCCCACTTTTAGACCTGATTTTAAAGCTCCACCTTCTTTATTGACTTGTGTTGTTCAAAGGAGTAAATAAATAATCATATGGATCCGTTTTTTTTTAATTAATTGTAATTAATAATAATTTATTTATTATTTTTTATATTTTTACTGTCTATTGCAGAGGTTCCCAAAGTGAGGGCCGCGCCCCCTGGGGGGGTGCACAGTGCCGTTGCAGGGGGGAACACGGCTGGAACCCACACCCCCTGCGAATTGAAATACTATTGAGAACCTGATAACATGTATATTTTTATCTGTACAAACCACTGTATGATTTGCTGCCACCTAGTGACTGGAGGCTTGTAATCATTCAAGCATTGCAACAGTGGTACACTTATGTCCAGCTTGCCGTATCCCATTGGAAGCCCCTCACGTACTCCCTGGCACTGCCCCCCCCACTATTTGAGAAGTACTGGTCTATAGTAATGTACACGGTTTTCAAAGTCTTCGAAGAAGTTCACTTTAAGTGCAGAGAACAGAGAAGTCCACTGTTTGTCCACTTCATCATTTTCATGGTTGCAGAGGGAGTAATCCCACCAGACACCTAAGGGTCACCTATGGAGACCAACAACTATTCACACTCATATTCACACATGAAAAAGTTAACCTAACCCTACATGGCTCTGGGCTGTGAGAGGAAACTGGAGTACCTGGAGAAAACCCACCTCATGCAGGGTGAGCAGGAGGAAAAGCATTAAGTTATTCTGGGAATGGAACTGGTGATCTTACTGTTAAGGCAAGAACACTAACCACTGCTCCAGTGTGTGCTCTTCAGTAGTTTTCTTTGAATGTTTTTAGGAGAAATTGAGAATCTCAGGAGGAGCATGGGGAGGGTGGGTGAGGGTTCTGGGAATTGAACAACCTTGTGATCCTGCATCCATAACTCAGGCCTGGAAGTTGGTGAAAACCCAGACTCAAAGACAAACATTATGCTTTCTCCACATCAGCTTCTTGGCCATCTCATTCATTTATTTTTGCTCATCGTCATCCAACCTCGGAGCTGCAGTATTTCCTCTGTGTTCACCTGCCTTCTCTTGTTTCTTGCAGGTTCTTATTGCTCTCATCATTATGACTGATGGGGATTATGACTACCTTATAAAGCTCCTGGCTCTGGGGGACTCCGGCGTGGGAAAGACCACCTTCCTGTACCGATACACAGACAACAAGTTCAATCCTAAGTTCATCACCACAGTCGGCATCGACTTCAGGGAAAAAAGAGTGGTGAGTCACGGAAGTCTCACAAAGTTGTTCGGACGTCGGCTAACTACAGCTGTTATCTCTCAAGTTTGAAAACTTTAAAGGGTTTTACTTCCTGCCACTTGTCTACATGGTTAGAGCTTTCATAAATACAGTGAATTTTAGGGGACAGAATTTTTTTGAAAAGTGTGACTCACAAATACTGATTTTTCCTGATTTCGATTTCTCTGCACCCGACGTTCTGTCGAATTTATCTTGTTCTATTGTTCTGTAGAACAAAACAATATCTCCATCCAAAAATAATTACATCGAGGGCAATTGGACGAAGTAGGCTTCTTCAGTTCTGGATGAGCAGTGAAACGCCTTCAAGAAATCTACTACGTCCAGTTGACCTCAATTTAACTACTTTTGGATTATGTTTTTTTTCTTGTCCTAAAAACAAAAGATTAAATTATTTCAAAATTAAATTACGTTAATGACATGTTGTCTTTAAAACAAATATGGCTGAGTGATTATGAAAAAAGATTATTTGGGTCAATGTTTACGTCACGCTTCTTTAAACCAATTACTCATTGACTCTGGAAACGTGTGTGTTTGCGTGTGTGTGTTTTTCTTCACAGGTTTACACAGCAGCCAGCCCTAATGGCATGACCACAGGGAAAACTTTCAAGGTTCACCTTCAGCTCTGGGACACAGCTGGACAAGAGAGGTGAGACCAGAGTCCATGAAGTCGTGCAGTTATTGTTAATAACGGAGACTCTTCAAGTGAATGGAAACGCATGCAGTTTTCAAATGCCAGCGTGTGTCAGTGCACTCTCCAAAAGACTTGAGTGAAAAGTGATTCATGGATATAAATATTTTCACAGTTACTTGACAAACTAAGGCTGTTCGTTTTAAACTCTTTTTAACCTCTTCTCTACTCCGGGGTCTTTGCATTTGTATGTATTTTTCAGATT